TTATTTCTGAAAATAATAAAATAATTTATAAATAGATAAAATTACTTCCTGATATAAGATAATCTAATTCTTTTTATTCGGGGCCATGCTAGCCAAAGATTTCGGGAGCTGGTCCAATACATCTGGGCAACACAAAGCTCAGGAAAGGCTGATATAAGCACATTGTTTGAGTTGAGTGGCCCTATAAATCCATTACATAAATAAATAAATTTTGGGTAGTCTGTCAACTATCCTCTGTCTCATCTATTAGCCTCCCAGCAAATGTCAACATGGATCATAAAGTATAGAGATGATGACAAAGACTATAAAACTTCACAACATGCTGAATACTGACTTACGAGGTAGACACCATATTTTAAATAGATTTGTCTAATATATTTTCTGTGTAAATAAAAAGCTTCCCAGACCTTGGTGGTTAATATTCTTTTTGTCAAATAGTCTTTTAGCAGAGGTGTGATGTTTACCTTTGGGTATTACTGTAAAATCATGCCCATTTCATTTTATGATTAGGGAGATATTTATGGAAAATCTTATATTGTTTTTCTACCACTCAAACAGGATGCAGTCAATTGAATACAGAATGGATGAAAGAAAAAGCTGTGATCATTTCATTGTCAGTTTCTGTAGATGCTCAGCCTCCTGCCAGCTGGAGCCTGTATTAGAGCAACAGGAGGCAAACAAGGTGATGAAATTAATTCTAGAGGAAGTATTTCAACAGGTCCTATAAATTTAAATGGCAAGGGATGAGCCAGATCCATGTTTGACATGGGCACATTATGTCCTGCTTTTGTTGTGGTTCAGCTATAGGCAGCCACTGGGAAAATGAAAGACACTGCACAGGGTTCTATGGGGTAGGTTCAGAGGAGCAATCTTGTTGGCAAGTGAAAATTATAGGGAGCTTAATCCAAATCCATTTCTTGGTACAAAAACAGTAAGTGAAGCTCAGAACAAACTTTCTTGTGAAACATTTTCAGAAAGCTTTATAGGAGCTAGGTAATGATACAGACTACAAATCCCAACAAATTACATTCTCAAACCAACGTAACAACATACTTAAAGTTGGATACCATAGACAAGAGTTACCTGGGAGAGGCAAGAGAATAGAGAAGTAGCATTTGGGGAGCAAAGGAACTTGCAACTCTTGCTCCAGGACTCAGATGTTACAGCTACCACTCTACTTCTGAAACTTCAAGCAAGCCTTCCTCAACACTGGCAATCTCCCAATTCTGGGACCAACTCCCAGAATTCCCCAGTCAGCATTGATATTGGTGAGAATTCTGTGAGTTGAAATCTAAGGGACACCAAGGTTTGGAGAAGTCACTCTGTGTCACAAGTTTCAGAGAAAAAGACTATAGCTTAGAAAGATGCCCACAGAGTCAGCTATTAGCCCTCATAAATTGGGTTCTTCACCAAGCACCATATTTATGTGCACTGTTTTGAAAGTTCTCAACTGCATCACAACATCTGGAAATATGTCCATTTTGGCAAATTGGTGTGTCTCCATTTGTGAATTGCAAACTAAACCAATAATTGCTGCTGCTACATTTTGTAGAAATGTGCTGAAAGACACAACAGACACTGGTGGAGCAATAAGCCATAAATCCCTTCCATGGTGGCACAGCTCTTGCCTAGCAAGTCACCAGAAATTAAGCTCCAAGTCAGATTCCACTAAGCTTTCAGACCCAATGCAAGGGACTGAATACAATACAAGATCTGAAAATGTCCAAAAGTGCCTGTTTCTTAAAAGCCTGTAGATTCAGATGTGAGTATAACCCACCCATAAGATCTCACTTATTCACCACAATGGGGAGGAAGATCCTTCTGCAAAGCAACTGCTCTGTGAGATAGCTCTACTCGGATATGCATCACAGGCAGCATAAAATGATTTGGAAAAAGATGTATGCCACTGTTTGATGGCATTGTCCATGTATCCAATCTAAACATTAACAAGAGAGCAGAAGTGACAGCTTTTCTGCATTTTATACACCTGCATTTCAGCAATGGAGATTAGGACTCTGCAGGTTAGGTTTCACTAATATCTGTGAAGTTTGTATCCCACATCCCACTGTCAGGGATGCTAAGACTTAAGTCAATTACTATATATTGCCACATCAGTGAAATCATTACTTTGAGATAGGGCTTCTAGCCTTCTATCATCTCTGGAGCATTCCCAGTCATAGGGGTACGGGACCATGAGAAAAACCCACTTGAGTCTTGCGAACTGCCAAAGTTTTGTCTCTGGACCTAAATCCAGAATTCACATAATAGGAGTGTCATTAAAAAGGTGCTATGAAACAACCTGCAAATGTTCACAAGGATAGCAGTAAGAACCCACTATTGTTCATCCATAGAATGGTAGTCGACTAATAAACATCTAGTCAAATCTTCATTCTGTGGATACTATACTTTGGCTTTGTTAATTGGCTTGATTAATTGATAAAATGTTTTAGTTTATTAAAATGAATACCACCTTAAACAGGCATCCTATTTAACTTATTTACTTATGAAAGCTACAGTACAAATAATAAAAGCTATCATATCAGAATAATTTCTTTCTGTCTGGAAACTTGTTTTCCTTGCTGTGTTATAGATACTGCATAAATCATCTCAAAAACAAACCATATTTATTTAAGAAGAAATAAAATAGACATATCACTTTCAAAATATAAAGTATGATGTAGGTGTAAAAATGTTTGCGTGTGTAAGTCTGTCTGTCCATCCATCCATCCATTTTCTAGCATATAGAAAAAATGTTTCATTTTTGAGAGGGGGACATATTTCATTCTGGTATCGTGTTTACATCTACATGGTTATAATAGCCACTCAAACTAATTCTTGAGAAATACTGAGCACAGAAAAAGAAAAACGAAATATAAATTTTTCCTTGCATACCCTTTCACCAGGCGGGCCAGGTGGGCCATCACCACCAGCAGTGCCCTGGAAAAGAACAATTTATTTCAAAATGAGATGGGTATTGGCAGCAAGAAAAGCTAAAAGCAGAATTAGTTCCTCAATTCTGTCAAATTACCTTTGGGCCAGGTTTTCCAGTTGGACCTCTTGCACCCCTTGACCCACGTGGTCCCTAGTGAGTGGGAGAAAATATGTAAATAGTATTTTTATTGCACATTGTTGTATAGGAGAATATAAACACAAGTTGCTGACCACAGCATGGATAGCAATCAAATAAAAATGCATGCAGTAATATTAAGGGTTAATAATACCATTAAATTAAAAACAAACAAACATATTACTTACTGTGGGTCCTCGTTGTCCCCTTGGACCTGGTTTGCCATGTAAACCCTGGCAAACAAAGTTCACAGAAATTAATCTGGGCACTGGGGCAGATTATCTATTGATTTATTGGTATATTTCTATGCTGCCAGAACATAACAGCTCACTTGGAAAAGTACAATTTAAAATATCTAAGGTTAAAAAAAAAAAAAACACAACACACCATAAAAAATAAAAGTAAGATGGCAACATCAAATAAGGGAAGGCTCTCCAAAATAGATCCATCTTCCTGGAAAGACATTTCACTATAGTACTATAAAAAGGGAAAGTAGAACTGTAATACTTCAGAAACTGGCTAATATAACTATCTCCTTAGTGTTTACATTTTAATAAACAACATGTATTTTCATAGTCGTATTACAATTTATCCTTATTTCTTTGGTTATCATATAAATATGTTGTTGAAACTGTTATTTTCTTTAGCTTTTTTTTCTGCCTTCTTATCCATTATTCTTGGCTGCTCAATTTGTCTACTTCCTTCAGGAAGAATCATTTAAATCTCATTCCTCGACCTGAAACATGCATTTTCACCATTTCTTTCTCCAATGGGTATGGAATATATCACTGAAATTGCCAAATATGTGATTATGATCAAGAAAGAAATGCAGTCCTTACTGCTCCATACACTCTCAGGGACAAGTGCCTTCAAAATGCTTGTCAATAAAATGCTCTTGTTTAGCTCCTTTGATATTCATTTCAATGAAGCCAGCAAAGAAGAACCTCATCACAGGCTGTGCACGATGTTCCCTCCCTAAGTATCGATTGGGAGTGCCTTAAATGAGCTGGGCAGCGTTGCCAATCCTACTTCCATTTCAGGAAAACAGACAGCTACTTCAAAGCACCTTCCTTCAGTATAATCCATTAAGGCTTCTCTTCTGAGGGGCTTCTTTTAATCAAGACAGTGACTGCGAGTCCATAGAGTAAGCAAGCTGAACTATTTTAGATCCATCTCCCCAGTAGTGGAAGAAAGTGTGTGTGTGTGTCTGTGTGTGGGGAGAGAGAAAGACGTTTTTAGAATTTAAGGAAGCAGAAATGCTCCCTGACAACTGTAAATGAAAAATGCCCCACTCTTAACCCGAAAGTCCCACAGCCACAGATTTGAGCTCAGCTGGTAGGATGTAATTTTTATAATTGATAAAATATTACAATAAGGACAAAGATAGACATCAATTTTTGTGAATGCTATTAATATATTTGTTTCATGTTATGCAAATACAGCTGTGGGGAAACTTCCTGAACAGCTTCTGGACTCTGAGGGAGGGAGGGAGGGAGGGAGGGGCCTCCCCCCCCCCC